TAAGCTACAAACACGGACAATATGTGGTGTGGTATGGGGCAGGAAGTCTTTTACTGGATCGACCAGTTTTCTGGTAGAATTATTAGTTGGTTAGATTTGATGCGGGATATTGGATTAGTGGAATAGAAGGTAAGGGATTAGTCTGAGTATCATGTGAAAGAAGACATGGTTGGAGGCAGGATTTGTTTCATCATTTAGCTGTAAACACAGACAGTGCTGGGAAAATCGCTTAGATTGTCGTTATTTCATGCATTTTTCTGAACAGATTTTTCTTCCTTCCTATACGATAGGGGTAAGCCAATTATAGCATCCAAGTTGATCCTGGAAGCGTAAGGAAGGAGCGAGGAAATGCAGAAAAAAAAAAGCCATATGGGAAGGGAAGGCAAGAGTGAGATAAGACGTTTCGGCCCATTAAGACATATACGTCTTAACTCAACACTGCGAGAGGAAGGAAAAGACCCCACGGGCCGTTTGGGCCTTGTGGTCAGATGGAATTTGGAAATGTAGGGGCTGAACCGGTACTGGGTGGCATAATTAGAACGTGCATAAGACGACGTATTATTACTGCTAAGGCTAATTCGTCCGTATGACGGTGGCAGTGCTTAATGAAGAAAAGAATTCTTCAACTTGGTTATAGTTTATATGTGAGTCACTGTACTGCACTGCTAATCGCTAGAGTGTTCTAGAATATAGCAGTTTTTTGGCACATTTTTTCATGCGAGTTTTATAGTACCATAGGAAAATCTCAGCCCGCGCTTCATGCATTTGGCAAAGAAAAGTACCCCTCCAGTGATATTGGTTGGTGAAAACATAAGCAACATACATGCACGCGGGTTTTTTCTCTCGTTATCTCCATTGTTTTCTTCTAAACACCTTGCTACCTGACATTTTCACATGGTAGTTAAGGAGCTGTACTGATGATTCTTACCCCTAACCGCACCTTATAGTGTCTGTGTTTACAGTTGAGGGATGAAACACAAGCAGACCAACTTCTTCATATTTCTCTTTACATAATTTTTCAAAAAGGCACCCGATTTTTTGTGCATTAACAGCCACACTGTCCTTCCCATAATAATCCATCCACTAATTCCATCCTACATTAAAATTCATGGATTACGGTCGTTTCATATTTTCCACGGCGGTTCAGACTGGCCGTTTACTTCAGAAATTACGGTTTGCCCGTGGTAACTCCAGCCGCTCCGCTTGGAGGGGTCCACTTATGATTCGGCCTTCTAATGACCAGTACTTATCATGCCATTTACATGTGATGCTGGGAGGATGTGCTTTTGAAGGTGATGTCTTTTGTTGCAGGAGGTGAACGTGCTTATAGTCAGCTTGTTTCTTTGCTAATTTTGGATGAAATTCACCTGCTACACGATAATCGTGGACCAGTGCTGGAAGCGATTGTTGTCAGGTAATTCCGCTCTTTTTATCACTGCTGGATTAATGGACCGAAACATTTCTTACCATTATAATAATAATTTAATAATTATTATTTAACCATTATGATAATATTCTTAATAATTTAATAATATTCTTAATAACTTAATAATGAAACATTTCTTAATAATTTAACCTTTACCATTATATTAATAATTTAATAATTATTATTTAACCATCATGATAATATTCTTAATAATTTGATAATATTCTTAATAACTTGAATAATGAAACATTTCTTAATAATTTAACCTTTATAATAATAATTTTATTAATTTTGCAAATTTTCTAGTTTTTTGATTCTCATTTCCTACTTTCCTTTTTGATTTTTTTCTTATTTCATTGTTTGTTAATATACTTTTCAATTACCATTGAAGTGGCTGTTGATGGCGAAATTTCTGAAAAAAAAATTTGGAAATGTTTTTTTTTTTTCTTCAGAACTTTGCGACAAATGGAGCAAACTCACGAGGAATGCCGTTTGGTTGGACTTTCGGCAACCCTACCCAATTATCATGATGTTGGAACATTTTTGCGTGTCAAGCCATCAAATCTGTTCTTCTTTGATAACAGCTTTCGGCCAGTACCCCTGGAACAACAGTACATTGGTATTACGGAGAAAAAAGCACTGAAGAGATACCAGGCAATGAATGATGTGGTCTACGACAAAGTGATGGAACATGCGGGAAAAAGTCAGGTACGAAAATCAGCTTTCTTCTGCCCGGTGATATTGGCTGATAAGGCTTTTGACATCTTTTTTTACGTAAAAAATCGTTTGCTTTCTTGGGAATCGGAGTTTTTTGAAAATTTTAACGATTTTGCTTCTAATGAGGTCCTTTTGGCATGAAATTATAAACGATTTTGTGAAACGGGCTGATTTATTTTAACCGCGCGCCCTTTTCTGATAGAAAATGACAAAACGATAAAAAAGGGCTTATTTTTGGCCAGCAAAAAACTTTCACGGGGATATACTTGAGAACCACTCAAACCTGGGGGCTGAATTTGAAATCTTTGAGTTCTACTTGGACATGGAACATTGCTTTAAAATTTTAGTTTTAGTTTTCCGACTTTCCTGGTTCCCGAGTTAGCGATTTTCCCGCCAAAGGTGCTCTCTGTTCGTTGTTGCACTATCTAAAGGAAATGGTGGATAATAGTGACTGGTGAAGATCCAGAACAGTAAATTTACTAGTATTTACCTCTGCTGCTTAGTCCATTTTGAAAGTGGTAAAATCTGGAATTTAAAGTCGCAGATTTTTATATAAAATAAATTAAGCGTTTCTCTTAGCCAGCGAAAAAAACGAGGTGATGCTACTCAGTTTTTGCATTTTTCTTGTGTTAGTTGAGAAATTTTTAAAAATAATAGGGAATAAATGCAACTGCATTTCGAAAATCCATCTGCATTCCGATACGAATGATACAGTAGGACGCTAATACATAAATGAGTTATAGTAGAAAAGGGACCGAAAACGAAGGAAAATTATTGGGGGGCGCGGGAGGAGAGGACATTTGGAGGCGGGGCGGAGAATGGGGAAAACGGGAGGAGGGGGAAATAGTCAGCATAGTTTTAAGATGTTAAGATAATCAAATTTCTAAGCCGTAGGTTTGGCAAAAGACACACAGTTTAAGAAGGATAAGCCAGAAATAGACGATGCGGTTGCAGTTTATCTAAACTTCACTCCTACAGAACGAAAATATTCTTTTCTAGTTGATTCCTGCCACTTTTTTTAACATATTTTCATCTCTGATCAGTTATTCCTTGTTGTTTTAGGTTTTGATTTTTGTGCACTCGCGGAAGGAAACAGCCAAAACTGCAAAGGCCATCCGCGATGCATGCCTTGAAAAAGATACGCTAAGCGCATTCCTGCGTGAGGGAAGTGCAAGTACCGAAATATTGCGCAGCGAAGCTTCGCAGGTTTGCATTTGATTTTATATTGCCCCCCGCAAATCTCTAACTTTTGTGTATTTGGAATAAAATATTCGAAATTTTTGGATTCGGTCAGAATTTTTTTCGGGATAATACATCGAATTTTTTGCTGTAAAAGTTGGAAAAATTTCAAATTTGCTTCCGGAAATGTCGAAATCACTGGACTTCTTTTTCAAAACAAAGCTCGATTTTTCCCCTTTTGAAAGGTTGAAATGCCTGAAGTTTGTGTGTTTTTCTTGCAGGTGGCGAATGTTGACCTTCGGGATTTAATCCCGTATGGTTTTGCGATCCACCATGCCGGTATGACCCGTGTTGATCGTACTCTTGTTGAAGATTTGTTCGCCGATCGCCATTTACAGGTTTGATTGCAGCGTTAAAAGGCCGTTTACCCTTATTAGTTCCCGATTTTTTTTTTTCTTTGAAATAGAAGAGGAAAGGCCATAGAAGCTCAGTCAAAATTAGTCGTCCCAAGCAGGATCGACCGGGAGATCGAAGTTGTGAAGTGGTAAATAGGCCAAAGTACACCTTGTAAAGTAAGAGACTGTGCAAACTAAAGGAAATTCAACACGGCAGAATTCCATATTGTAATTTTGATTTCAGATAATGTGTATTTATGTAAAAAGTAAGGGTTAAAAGGAATAAAAGAAAGGTGAAAATAAGCTAAATCGGTTTAAAAGACCTGAATAGGAATGTTTCGGTCCTTTAAGTCGCATACATTCCTGTTCAGTGCTGCAACTGGACCTCGTCAGTGTGACGGTTGCAGCAAAATAAACATGCAAAGTGTTTTAAGGCCGAAAGGATAAAATCTGACAGAGAATGGTGGTGGGGAAGATAATTGCCTTGTTAATGTGGTACAAACTTTCTGACGAGTTAAATAGCCATGTACCTGGAATGTGTAGGGGGTAATCTCTCTGTGTTTCATCCCTTAGCTGTTAACACAGACAATGTAAGTTTTGGCTAGGGCAGCTTCGAATTTTTGAAAATACGAC